TACAAAGAAAAAGCGCTTTGTTGGTTCAGCACGACCCGAGTTCCGCTGGATTGTCATTGGACCGCAGCGGACCGGCGCTCCATGGCACCAAGATCCGGCGAGAACGTCTGCGTGGAACGCGCTTGTCAAGGGGCGAAAGCGGTGGGCGATCTATCCTCCCGATACAGTACCACCAGGTGTGAATGCCAGCAAGGATGGCGATAGTGGCGTGGGCATGCCGTCACTCATGTGGTATTTGCACGTGTACCCTACTCTCACACCTGACCAAAAACCGCTCGAAATCATCCAAGAAGAGGGTGAGACGATTTACGTACCCAACGGCTGGTGGCACCTCGTTCTCAATCTGGACATGACGATCGCAGTCACCCAGAACATGGTGGATTCGCACAACGTATTCATGTTTATGAAGGATATGATCGACGATGGTCAAGACGAAGCGCTGGCGGTACTACAGCACGAGCTCAGGAAAACGCGGCCGGAGACGTTTGACATGTTTCGCCTTGTTCAGATCCCTCGTATGAGCGGATACTTGAGCGAAGATGCGTTCCAGCAGTCGTTCTGCATCTTGAAGCATTGGAAGCCTCAATTAAAGAGAATCCTCAAGCGCCACAAGGCGTTAGCTGTGCTGGATACCAGTAGGAATGTCGTTGAAAAAGTGAAGTATCCCGCAATGAAGAGTCTTACCTCGCGCGTGAACCCGGCATTTGCGGTTGGAAAGCGTTTGCTGGTGAAGTTCTTTAGCCAGTACAACGAAAGCTGGGGCGAGTTTGACTTTGAGACATACTTGACTCCAAAGTTTGACTCGACTGACAACGGGTTGTTGCATCCGCCAAAGCGTCGTAAGCACAACGTCATACAGTCGCACGAGTTGAAGAACGCGATGTCCCTACGATACGCAATGGAGGATTGTTTCCGCGTTGAGAGGACTGTGTACCAACTGCTTGATCGAGCAGCGCGCGTGAACCCTTTGCACCGGTCGCTCCAATCAATGACCCCTCGTTTGCATTACTCTGGTCACCTTCTCTATCCGGACGAGGTGGACGATAACGAAGGCGAAGGGTTGATGTGGCGGTGGCCGTATCTCATAATCGAGTACAAGCACAGCAGTGTTGGTCTCGACGTAATTACGAAAAAGGGCGGTGCTACTCGCAATAGCTGGAACAAAGTGGCTGCTTGGATCAGTCGGGAGTTCTTGCCGAAGTTGCACTCAGTTCCCATTGACCCAGAACATCGAGGAATTTACGGACACAGCAAAGCTGAGTGGGACTGGTACATACATTACATGCTGCATCGAAGAAAGCGCGCCGTGTCATGTGAGTCGATGTGTATCGTCATGCAGATTGTACTACGCGTTATGAGAAGATATTTTGCGGTCATTGACTCTGTTGTTGCTTTGTAGTCCACCTGGTCGAGAGCAGCCTTCCTTCACACTTACAGAAGTCGCTCGAAGACTTTCTGCCTGCAGCAAGCCACGATGCAGTCGTCTCGCAGCTGCTTCCAGCAAACTTCTCGGAGATTGGGCCCGTGCTACTGCACGGTGATTTGACAGACGAAAACATTCTTGGATCTGAAGTGGACCGAAAGCCGAGAAATGAGGCCGTGTCGAGCATGGAGAAGGCCCAGGCGACTGGTGATCTGTCGTCGTTCTTGACGTCCATCGGGTGTGAGAAGTACATTGCGCTTCTTGTGGAACAAGAGAAAGTCACGTTAGAGTCGCTGAGCCTGCTTGATGAAGCCCATCTAAAAGAGCTGGGTATTCCTCTGGGACCCCGTGTTGCGATTCTTCACGGGAAGCAGCTCACTGCCACGCATGCTCGTGTGATGGAAACCGAAGTTGGCGCGAGCAATGGCGGCTGTAGTACCGAAGAGGAATGGGAGACCAGCAGTGGAAGTAGTAGCAGTAGCGGCGAAGAGGAGAGTGAGATAGACGTCACGACGCCCGTCGGACAGGCAGCCATTGAAGCAAAGCGCAAGGAGAAGTTTGCTGGGCCACATGAGTGGATGCCAACGTCCGTGATCGACTTCGCAGACGCGAAAACGGGCGATCCATTGTACGACCTCGTCGCTGTCTTCTTCGCTGCACTGGTACGTGGTACTTGCTGCTGTAACCTCGTGCGCTTTGCTGACTGGCGAGATACTGCATGTACATCATGTTCGTTAGCATTGTGACCGCGAGCTGTGGAAGATAACGCTGGCGTCGGCGTACTGGCAAAAATACATCGATCGAGAGAAGCAGAGCAGCAGCACACTGCAACGGCGGTGTCTCCGGGAGCGCTTTCTGCAGTTGGTCCTACTGCATCCGAGTCATTCAGCCAAGGGGCTGTTTCACTACTTCCCTCGAGCAGCACGAAGTGCGACCTGGGAGGGCCTCGCACACGCGATTTTTGACGACTTGTTCTGAGGCGAGTACACGGCCGTCGCAGTCGTTGGTTCGGGGGGTATGACAGCGAGGCTTGCTTGCAATCACCGTGCATGGGCTGGCAACAGCGGTCGTCTTCGTGTTTGTTGCTCATACGGTACGTTTTGCGTGCTCGGTAGGGTGCACGTGGATCGATGCCGTCACGATTCGTCGACCCTGCAGGCCTCACTCAGGATGCTTAGCAACGCAGTGAGGACTGACTCCCATGCGCCGCTGCTCGTCACTTTATGCACGACACGACTGACAACACTAGACCCATGACAGTGTGCGACGCACATATATATATATACGTATCTATGCAAGCTACCAAGTTGACTGCACTGGCTGACGACTATCCACCTCTCGCGCTAATACGTTGGCTGCACCTGCTGGACGTCTTCAAGCAGCTCATTGTACGCTTCCTGCACATTGAAGCCCGCCTTGTTGGGTGTGATCAATATGCAGCTAGTAGGCCGCTTGGACAACGCCGACGCGCCCAGATCCACCTGTGCAGCAGAATAGAAACGGAACAAGACAGTCAGTCGCTGTGCCCACGTACAGCTCAGCTCTATCCCACAAGCAACGCCTTCCTACACACCTTGGAAGGGGTAAAGATGTAGGGAATGTCGTTCTCCTCGCACAGCGTCGGGATGTGCGAGATCACGTCAATCGGCGAGATATCGCCCGCAATCACACACACGCCCTTCTCGCCCTTTCGGATGCTCTTGACGACTTCCTTGACGCCACGTCGAATGCCTTTGACCTTTGTGGCTTTCTTCAGCACTTTATACGCACGTTTGGTCTGCTTTTTCGTCGCCAATGGCTTGGCAATCACCGACACGTGCTTTATGCGCTCTTCGTACGTGCTCGCGCTGCGCTTCTTGCTGCTTCCTTCGGCGTCGCTCATTGTTGGCGTCACGTACACGCGATGAGGGGGGGGAGAGAGAGAGTAGGAGGGAGTAGGAGGGAAGGGCGGGCGGGCGGGCGGGGGATGCCACCGTCGGTCGAAGAGCGCCACTGGTGTGTTGACCTGTTGCGGCTTTTGCGTCTGGACCAACCGTCGACACGCGATGATGGACCGGATGCAATGGGGAATATCGACCAATCAACACACACCAAACGGTCCGCGCACCCCACGCCCCGCGCCTCAACGAGTCCACGAACGACTGAGACTATAAAAAGCAAACGAGAATGGGCGTCACGGGTCTCGCCGTAGGGACTGTCATGGGCCTCTCCACGAAACTCGGCAGCAACGTGCTGCAGAAGGTCCCGTACATGCGCCGTACGTGAATGATCGCGTGTGTTGTCTCGCACATCGCTCGAGTGCAGCCACTTGATGACGCTACTCGACTGTCGATCTCACGTTGTATAGAAAGCTGCTTTTTTCGACGAGAGACTCACGCGACTTTTTATTTTCGTCATTTTTCTATTCGTGCTGCTGCTTCTCCAACGCAGATCCGTGGGAGCACGTGCTGTACATGGGCATCGGTGCTGGACTGGGCAGTTATCTGCAGAACAAATACCACCGGGACCTGGAAGAAGTGGAAGAGCTGCGACTGTACTTGGAGCGTCGCTCGGACGTGAACAAGGAGGCATGATGTGTGCTTGACCGGACAGCAGCTGCAACAGTATCAGCAGTGGACTGATTGGCGAACAACGTGTACAGCCGAAAGATGGGTTTGGTCGCTGCGCGTGAGGAAACCTGTGAGCGTCTGCAGAATAAATAAAAGAATTGATAAAAAGCAGAAAAAAAGGAATCGTTGCCCTCTGTGTCGCGACGCTTCTTTTCTGGTGCTTTTTGGCTGGTCGTGTGGGTAAAACAGCTGCTCTTTGACGAAGCGATCACGGCATATGGACACATCCGGCCCGTTGCTGCTGGATGCGATGCTCGCAACCATCTCACATTGACCTGGCAAACCCACTTGGATGAGCTTGCGACTCTGCCCACAATGGAGCTTGCTTCTGGTACATCTTGCAGCAAGCATTGAACCAATTTGGGCAGGTGCTACAATGTGCACGAAACAGTTTGGCATCGCGTGTAGTGCCACTTGGTAAGGGCTGACCAATTCGGCCTCGCACTTGACAAGTCTACATCAGAGATGGCCCGAACTGGTCCTTAGCAGCACACTGCGCTCACTTGGAACTCGCGCCATGCAAAGGTACAATTGCTCTACGAGACGACACGGAAGCTGCCTTAGCGTCTTCGCTCAGTATGTGGTCTCGAGCGACACGACAATCACTGCATCTGACTTTCCACCAGACTCTGCTGGAAGACGGAGCTGCAGACGCTCGCAATCGTCACGTCAGGAGGAGAACAAGAGTGCGATACTTTTGTGTACATCGCTTTTCTACGACACTCGACGAACGAGGTGGAAAACGTGGAGACTAACGATATGCTTTACAAGGGACGAGCTTCCAAACCAAAAAAGCACTTATCAGCATCGTGGACCCCTATCGACACCGTCGCGTCCGTCGCATTGTCAGGTTGAAGTTGGCAGAATGATGGTCGTTTGGTTTCCTTTTCGACGCGCCTTTGCCACTTTGCCTTTTGCTTTCCTTTGCAAGTGCAACCAACGCGCACAAAAGCAAACAGATCCGCAAGATGGCTAAGGGAAAGCAGCACGGCATGACGCCGATCCGCGTGAGTCTATCAGAGAGAGAGAGAGCGAGCGAGCGAGCGCGCGTTGCGTCGTTGCTTACTGTCTGTCAATGCTCTCGTGAGCTTACGTAACCACTCGGTGCTGTGCAGGAGAGCGAGGACGGGACGTCGTCAAGCGGCGATAACGTCGCAACGGAAGGCGAAGAGGAGGACGACGAGGAGCAGCGGTTCGCGATGCGCCACTCAACGAGGAATCGCCGCGAGGACGAGGACGAGGACGAGGAAGAGGAGGAGGAGGAGCACGCGCCTCTTTCGAGCAAAGAGGACGTCGCTGGGGGCAGCGAAGAGCTGACACCATACGTGGCCAAGTGCTATGGCCATTTGGAGACGCTGAGGAAGCGGAAACGCGAGCAAGAGGAGCGAGTAGAGACGCTGGTGGAAGGTGCTGCATTTGCCGCTGTGAAGCGGGCAATGCATGGGATCGGGGACAGCAGCGCAGCGTAGACTAACGTGGATGATGACGATGGTGGCGGTGGCGCTGCTGTCTCGTGCTTGTGTCGTGGCAGAAACGTTCGGACAGATTGAGACCATCATGCAAGAAATCATGCGCGGGCTGCAGGAGCGCCACGCCGTCTCCCACGCACACTTTGAGGCCACGGAGAGCAAACTCTCCCGCAGCCTGCGGGAACACAATCGGGTTCGTGCAGCATTTGTGTGCTCGTACGATGGCTGAATACAGGCGCACATGGAGGCTGAGAGCGCTTTTTTGCTTTGTGTGACGTAGACAGAGAAGAAACTCAAGTTGATTGCGTCGATTCTGCTGCGCGAGGACACCGACGAGTAGGGGATCGTCAAGTTTGAATATCACGTCAACAACTCTTTTTCTTTTTATGGCTACATTCTCAGTCGAAATATTGCATTAGAACAAGTTGCCGACGAGCTGATGGAGGTGACAACGACATCGGACAACGACGTACTTGCACGAGTGGAGGATAAAAGGCGCGACGCAAACGGGAACGAAGACACTGATGTATCGGACGTGGGTGAGAGTGAGACGTCAGTGGAAATCGATGAAGGGAGTGAGTCGGACGTAAAGGAGAGTGGAGCTACTGAGGTGGGTGACAGTATGTGAAGAGTGGAGGAGAAGACGGCCATGAGTATCTAACGTTCTGTACGAACTTGCATCGTCGATCGATAAGAATGCGCACAAGATAGTGGAAGAGAAAGAAGAAACGACAAACCCACTTGTCAAGAGCTCTTTGCCCTCCAACAAATCCTTTGACCGTCAAGTGAAGGCATTGATCACAAGCTCGGAAGCGTACATCTACTTCGATCAGTGGAAAAGCAAACTAAACGACAGGAGCACAGTTACGCGGCTACGTCTAGCATTCGAGCAACTGCTACCAAGAGTAAGCAAGTGATGATGGTGTCGCCGTGACGAGTGGGTTAACGACTCATATTGGATGCCACTGCGACAGCTTATGGGAGCGCGGGACTACGCAGGTGCAGCAAAAGTGCTGGGGGTGATATACCATAGGTTCGTCGTGACCCCAGGATTATGTATTGAGGTGCGTGCTGAACTCCCAGACCGATGTTCTGTACACACCTTGTATGACTGAACGCGATGTTGTCTGCGATGTCCATGCATTGTGTCAATTAGGCTAGCCTTGAGATCTTACGCCGACAAGAAGACTACCGCAGTGCTCTGTTGAGTTTCTACGAGGCAGCTGCAGAGGTCCAGCATGTTGACGTAAGTGTCTACTGATTCTTCTTCGTGTTGCAATGACCTGCATCGATAATTACTCCCTGCTATGTTGTGCCTGTTCTGCTTTCGTAGAAAATGTCAATTCTAAAGGAAAAGTGGCTTTTTTACATTGCTCACGGAGAGTTTTATGAGGCCTATCATATGTACCGAGATACCATCGAGCCGGTGAACGTCTAGCTAGCATGGCGTTTGAAGCTGTTGAAGCTACAGTAGTGTAGAAGCCTCACACTTGCATGCTGTCGCTCGTTCTGTTTGTCTCAGATCGAGGAAGCTACAGACGATGCAAGGTTGCTCGCCAATTTTGGAATTTTATGCTACTGGCTTATCTTTGTTGAGTCCAAAACACTGCGTGACCGGTTTGTCCGGGAACACACGGACTACGATGACGAAGAGGATGATCATTTGGACGCTGCAGACAATGTGGATTGTGGCGCGAGCGGCGGTGTCGAATCCGTGATCGAGTCCAATTACTGCTTCAAAACACCCATTGGGGTCCACGTTTTGTATCAGCACGCCAGTAATGCACTAAGACGTGCCGTAGCGCTAAGTACGAATTCGGCAATGTTTGTGGAGTACTATGTGCAGCTTCTTGTGCTCGTGGGCGATATCCAGCCAGCATGTGACTATCTTGAGGCTTTCTTCCACATGAACCCGGATGACCCTCATGGATCGAGAATGGTACGGGTTATTGACGCGGCTGTCGTAAGATGTTGTCTGATAACTCATGTACACGTTCTACCCATCAGCTTGCACAGTTTCTGGAGCACTACTATCCGGATTCGGTGGATGCTCAGGTTGCTGCGTTCACCAGGTACTAATCGATGCTACTGCCAAGTATCTTCTCTTGCTTACATCTAGTGCTGTTGTGTGCAGGTGGATGAAAAATGACCCATCATGTAGCTACCCACTGGAAAAAGTGCTGGAACTCTCCAGCGCTGGCGTCGTGTCATCTGTTACGCTGACAAGAGTCTTAGTTGAAGCGCTTGACACGTGTGGCAGTGATTTGTACGTGGAACAAAGCCCAGACATGGCATTGACGTTGTGGAGAAATCTGGCAGAATTGCTTGCCGCGATGGATGAGGACGTGTTTCTGATGGATCAAATCGAAGGGGGAGCCACCGATCCGTCAAGCCGACAAACGATTGCAGATGTGGGAGCGCAGCGTGCTTGGTGGAAACGGGTCTTTTTTGTTAGGCCGAGCACGTATGATGAGGCGGTAGCCGTCGCAAAACGCGACAGCAATTTCATGCAGGTGTCCATTTATCGAGCTGTCGTGTCGGACCACCTTTTTCCCGGTCAGCTTCCTCTGACAGAAGCTCTGCGCTTGGTGATGGCCTCACCAGGTGTAATTTCTTGTCAAGATCACGTTCGCTTGTTTAAAAGGTACAGGACAAGTTTGAACGTGCGGATTCTTGTGTGATCGACCTGCGCTAACATGCAATGCTCTTCTATAGCTTTTTCCCCTCTGTTTCGAGCACGAAGGTCACCAACGCAGCGTATGCACCGTTTTCGGACATGTCATTTATGCACGTCACCGACGATTGCAAGCAAAGAGTGTTACTCGTGTACAAGGGAAGCTCAACTACTGTGCGCGTGATCGACCGTGAGTCGATTGTGGAAAGAGAGGCAGCTAGCGAACAAGCCAAGGTGGCGGTGACGCGAACGGGAAAAGCAAAGGAAGTGGACGAGCAATTTGTAGAGGAGCTTTACGAGGCATTGGAGTCTGAAGTTGTTCTTTCGGGATCAAGCGACCAGCTATCCCGAAGAAAGCGCAAAGCTGATGCAGCTTTTGCAACTTCAGCACTGATTCCGGGTTTCGTCCGAATGGTTGAAGAAGAAGTCTATAACGACCCGAAAGCCGCTGTGCGGCACATTTACTCGGCGATATACCAAAAGCTGCGTCGCTCCGATATGCTCGTACCGACGTCAAAAGTGGTGGCGCGCTGTGCGAACTTCTTTCGAAACCGATTGAAGAAAAACATAGAGGCGTACGGTCACAGCGGGATGATGATGCGGCACGAGGAATTCATTGCTATGTATCTGCATCGTCAGAGAACAAAGGGTATCTACGAAGTGACGACAGACGCCGCTAAGGCAGCTATCGAGGAGATGAAACGTGTTTTGCCTAGTACACATCCACACTTTCCGAATGAGGATCTTGTAGAAGAGACGATGCGCAGGAAAACAGCAATGTTTGCCCGCCAGCGAAGGCTTGGGCTAATGCATCTCAAGCAAACGCTGAAGCCTGTGCTACAAGAGATCGTGTATGTTGTCGAGAAGGTCTTCGTCGATGCGGTCCACTCGGTTTGTGTCCGAAACGGGTTGTCAGGTGTGATCACTCGCCTTGACATTGCCCGAACAGTGCAAAACATTCTGCCAATGCACTATCACAGAGTGGTTCAGAGGATGCCGGTTCGCTTTACTCAAAAGCTTTTCTCGCCCACGTTTAGGAAGAACTGCAACACGCTCGAAGCCATCCTCCAGAAGCTCAAAAGAGAAGGATGTTCGCGAACGGCAAAAGAAGTACAAGTGCTTTTTTGGGTGGAGAGGCACGAAGCCTTGCATGGTCCCATCGATGACATCGAGGAAGATACTGCTGAAGGAGAGCGCAAAGACGACACGAGCAGTAGCGACAGTAGCACCAATAGCGAAAGCGGCGGCGAAAGCGTTTGTGAAAATGACAACAGTGAGGACTCGGCTGAGGATGACGGCGCTGATGCCGACAGCGGTGGTGACTTTGACGAGCACAGCAAGGATGGCAGCGATAGAAGTGACTGGGATGAGACACGTTAGGGGCAGCGACAGCAGCTTGATCACGTCGCATGTACCGTAAAGTCTTCTATTTCGATTCTATGCGCCTCGTTATCGTTCCACGCCGTCGCTTGTTTTGGTGCGCTTTACATGACGTCGTCGTGGGGGCCAGAGAGACATCGTCAACGAGTTCTGTCTGGAGTGCGCCAACAGCCGAATCTCGAGCGCGTGCATTTTTGTGGTGCATGGAGCGCGCCACAAGCCGCTGGATACGGTAGCAGCAATTGCGGCACCGCTGAAAAGCACATCGACTATCCCGTTGGACGATCGTCGAGCACTGCGGGGACTTGCAAATCAGCTGGAGGCTCACGGTCGATCCGGCTACATCATCAATGCTGGGATCGTCACTAGCAGCAGCATGTGGTTGAGTAGCAGACCAGATCACGCGCGGCGCCTCTTCCGGAGTGTGCTTCGCCAGTACCAACTTCGTTTGGTGGCGTGCTTTCCTTCGAAACTTGTCAGGATTCGTGTCAACGCTGCCGCCATCAAAGCCCACGAAACTGTGCACGGTTGCAATGTCGTGCAGAACAGGATGCAGGAATTGCTCCAAACTGCCACGATCGCGGAGAGGCACGCGCAATGCACCAACAGGCCTGACATAATCGAGCCGTCGGACATAGGGCAACCCGAATAAATGTGCCAAGCTCCGCGGCATCGGAATAGAAGACAGTATCCACCCGAGAACTAAAAGTCCGAGATCCTGGAGCCATTGGACAAGTCGAACGCGAGGAGATCCATCCGTCACTCCATTTGCCGTCATGCTACCGTGACGAGAGCTGACTTCCGACTTGAGGAACGACACGCCGCTTGCTTTATCACGTGCGATTACCCAGGTGCCAGTCGAACAGCAGCTACGACTTGTCTGACAAAGCTGACCGCTCGTGTCTGCAAATCTCACATCGGCCAACGCCGAGAAAAATGCATGCGCCGGCTTGTTCCGCTCCGTTGGTTCCCAACTAAACTCGAGCGACGCACAACCTCTTCGTGCAGCAATTTCGCTCAGCTTTCGCATCATAGCATGCTCGACACCGCGGTTCAGTGCACGACAGCTGAGCAAAAAGCTGTCTACATGCAACACATCGCTGTCGCGGGCATGGTGACAAAGAGCAACGCTGACTAGGCCGTAGTGACCAAACCGGTCTGTCACATGGGCGCAGACGACTGTATGGTTCGTGAGAGCAATGTAGTCCAGCAGCTCTTTTTCCTCCAGACGCTTCGCAAACGTTGTCGCCGTACAAAACTGGTTCGTACGGTGATGCAGCTGCAGGACTCTAGAAAATGAAGCACTCCGTCCCTGGAGCTCACTTTCCTGACCAAGGTCTTCGAAAACTATCTTCACGCCAAGAGCACTCAAAAACGCCCTGTGCGTTGACGACGATTTGCACAGCTGATCACGCTTCAGATTCTGTTGGTAAAGCTGTGTTCTCTGGCTGTCTTCTTTCGTGAGAATGCTTGCCCCTAATTTGTATGCACTTGCGCCCAAGCCTTCGTCGAAGACCCATTCTCCGTCCAGCACTTTTTCCGGAAAGTTTGCTCCTAGTGGAATGACAGTAACGGAGGGCAGTGCCGCCGCGACTTCATGGCACTCGAGAGGATTGTCGTCGATGAAAATAAACGAGTCCAGTCCTGCTCATGCATGATACTCACGCAGCGTTAGCACGTCAGAAGAGCTCCGTGAACGAAAGACCCGCACGCAGCTAATGGAGGCCGACATACCAAGCGATAGTTCGTGGGCGAGCTGTGCGATATTCTCTGATTTCGGCTGCCAGTTCACCTTGGCGGCAATCACATGTTGATCCATGTCAAGTATCATGTCATCGCGACGCTGTGTGAATGCGTCCCTCACGTCTGCAGGTATATTTTTACTGCAAAGCGCAATCAGCATGCCCCGTTCCTGCTGCGCGACAATGAATCGCTGGAGTGCGAGAAAGCGCGGAGCAAGAACGATCCCGCTGGCACCAACTTCGGCTACGGCACCACCCCACAACGTGTTGTCGCAATCGAGAACGATCACTTTCTTCTGGTGGCTTGCGGAACGATAAAGACGGCATATTTGTCGACACAACGACAGACTTAGCACGTTCAACATTGCTTGGGTATACGGCGAATGCTGGAGCTTGTCAGCGACGGCGTCGTAGAACGCAGTCACGTACTGCTGATGGAAGAGTGTCATGAGCCACTCGACCGACTGCACGGTCACGTTTTGCATCGCTTCAGCCCGCATCTGAACGGTTCGCTCCATGGCATTGCACTGAGCTGCGATGTTCGGTGGACACGGACAAAGTATCACAACCAGCCGGGGCGTCGCAGCGGTCGCGCCGATGCCGTCGTATCGCTCAAGATCGCTCAAAAAGTGACAAATGGGGCCGTCCGCGACACAGCTTTCTGCAGCAACATACCTGGCGCCGTCCCTACGCTCGTGCACGACGTGCAACTCAGGATGGTCTGCTGCAAGGTCGCTCAGGCGAACGAGTAAGAGTACTACGTTTACTGGAGGTGTCGACCGCAGTACGTGACTCGACCACTCGTCAAAATTCGCCAGACTGCCATACCGGAGCCATTGCAAGTCCACATCGGCACCTTCGACGGCCTGTCTCGGATCACCGATTACCATATGGAGCCACACAGACAAGCAAAAGACACGGCGTGAGAAAGATGGAGTTTGCTGCTTTTGACCAGCACGACACAATGGTCCGCAGACAGTGAAGGCAGACGTGGCTTGCACGTGTTACAGAGTATGGCATTCCACGAGTACAAGAAGAAGAAAAACATGGTACGGACATTCTGGAGAAGACACTGCAGGGGCACGGCCAGTGCTTCGTCACACGCAAAGGTGCCGCCGATCGCCACTTGCTTGCGCGTCATGAGTGCGTGTCGTGGGCTAAACCCTCCGACAAATTGTATTATGTGCGATTCGATTAAGTGCGACCTCGAGGACCTCAGTCCACCAGCTCGCGCTCGTACTTGGCCGGGTCAATGCGGGACCTGCAGCACAAACACATCGAGCACGACCATGAGCCAAAGCAATAGTCTCTCCGTGTGGACTTGCTGCCACGACGTACATGTTGCCGTATTGGATCGTAGGCGTGTGTTCACTGTCGACGTCTACAATACACACAGCCATGGCTACCACACAACACACGTCCAGAACACCACACCGTCAACACGTGTGTGAGACGCCGAAACAAGTTGATCGCGAACGAGCGAAAGCAGCAAAGAACGCACTGTTGGCGTCGAGGACGCGGTACGTGATCGTGACCATGGACTCTTGCAGACAAAAGTTGAGCGTGGCCACACTGGCCTCGGGCTTGAAGATGCCGTGGCACGTCACGCCTTCGAAACTCCATTCCATAAACGTGCCCTGCTCATCTGCAATAAACTACAAGCGAGGCAAAATCGACACGGAGTCAGTCCGACACGAGCATGGATCGCGTCAAAGTTCTCGACGCTGCACCGACCTGCACGGTATAGGCACTAGCAAGATCCTGTTTCTTGTGCGTGCGTCCGAACGACCATCGGAGGAACCTGCAGCAACACATACTCGTCCGTCATGAACCAGCAACCGAACTGGGTCCTCTCATGAAGTAGCCACACAGATCGTAGAGAGTGCAACGACGTACTGTGTGTTGGGCTGCCGAGCCGCGTCGAGGTCCTCTTCGATAAGTACGACGTTGTTTGTCGTGCGCAGGTGCTTGAAACTAGCGCCAAAGTGGTGCCACTCGAGATTGCGCTTCCAAAAGCCCTTCAAGTACGAGCAAAAGTCGCCATTGGGCACGTCGTAGCGCATCACGGAGCCGGGCGCTGAGGTCATGTGGGACGAGTGCAAGTTATCTGCAACATAGTTTACTTGCAGTACCGAAGTGCGGTCGAGAGATACCGATAGTAAGAGGTAAATAGCTAGCGTTTTGGCGACTTTGTCCCAAGTTGACACAGTTCTCGTTTTGGTCAGCTTCAAGTGTCGCATTTCGAGCACCAAACACCTGCAGCCCCCTCAAGCGTCAACTCGTCATGCAGCATGTCATCGTTCGAGAAACATTGGGTCGTGCTCGACAAGTCAATGTACAGTAAACGCTCCTGGCTATGAAACCGACGCGCATGCAAAGAAAAAAGTTAAGGCATATGCAGCTCTGGCCACGCAATGTCTCACCAGTGCTGCAATAGTAAGTACAAGACGGAATCATTCGTCGATGCATCGAGGCTGCCGTTGTTACTCTTTCTCAGCAATGTCTACGCAGCTGCAAAGAAGTGCAACGTCACGGCCATTGAGGTGCCACTAAAGCTCAAACTTATACTGTGGTGCTTCAACGGCAACGATAGATACTGTATCGCCAAACCTGTCGCTTTCACATACCGTAAGGAACATGCAAAAACGCTGCTCCTGCTGCTACACCCCACTGACCTTGTGAAGCATAACCAATCCGAAAAGATGCCTGTTCAAAAGGGTCGGACACTACGCATACGTCAGTGACGAGCACAGCTGCAGAAAGTCGTTCTCGAAAGCACAGCAGAGATAAGTCCAATCCAGTGGTTCGCCACGTCTCGATGAACACGCCCAGTTAGACGAGTTGTATAATAGTACATCTTAGTCGACACGTCTTTGCTTCCGAGCACACTTGCATGCATTGTACACCACCTCGCGTGGATAGAATCGATAGAGAGCTACGACAAAATAAAGTCGATGGCAAAGCGGTCCGACGGACTCGCGTCTTCAGCGTCCGACGTGTCGCCCTCAATCTTGGTCCCTGGGACAGCGTCATCCTTGCTGTCCACATCCGTCGCACAGTCACTCGTGTCGTCTCGGCTGCTCATCTCGTCTTCGTCCTTCAGTCGACACTCGTCTGCAATTCGGGCATGCTGCATGAGCAACACAATGTCCGAGACACTGGCTCCAGCGTGCACGAAAGCGTCCACAAAGCCCACGTCGGAGTCATAAATCGAGATCTGTCCTTGTGGCGAGAACTGAAAGTGGTTGACGCCATGGTAGACGACTTCGCGGCCGATGAACTTGCGGACAAGGTCCTCATTGTCCGCTACATGCGGAAAAAATGCGGTCAAACGTAGCACGCGAGAGTACCACGTGCAGCTTGGACCGCACCGTCACAATCGGGCTGTCTTCAGCTCCCACCACTTGGACGCTGACAACTTCAACATAAATACGCGAGTGGTAGCTCGTGTACTTCTGCCACTGGTCCAACAGCACGTCCAGTCCACTTGCGCCGCCAAACTGCAAGTCCGGGTCCATCGCGCTCTCCAAGAACGCCTGCTGCTTCCTTGCAAACGACTCACGCGAGAGCGCGTCGTCGACGCGGCCGCCCTCACCTCCACCCGCAGTGCTCAACGCCGATCGTTTCCGACCCACACGGTGCACCGACGGCATCCCACGCTCAAACAGCGCAAAGTACTCGTTCGCCAGCCGCACGAGCGACCCATCGACGCTATTGCGTCTGCGCAGGGCAGTGTCGGCACGCACACTGCACAGCAGACTGAGCTCCGTGACAGTGCGCCGCAGCGCATTGACCTCCGTGACCAACGTGTCTTCGTACTGTCTCTGGCGCGCGCGAAACGCGCGGCCACGTTCGCTGTTCGTCTTGGACAGCTGAACAGCTCCTGCTGCCTCGTCCTCTCCATTGGCCCTCCTCGTCATCCTGCACGCAATCTGGAAACACGGGCTGCACGTGCTGCTGCATCTGCTGCTGCGGACGGACAAAGAGCGTCTCGACGGCCGCGCGCGCGTGCTCGATAACATTCCAGAGGTCCTCCTCGCGCGGTCCGAGACCTCCGAGATGGAATCGCCGACCGGCTGGAAACGATTCAGAGCGCTCGAGCTGTCGCCCGCGCATGGCTCTGGACAACGGCAACGGCGACGACGGAGAGTGGGCGGCGAGGGGCCGCGTCGGGTCGAGGCGGGACGTGTGGCGGCAGTGCATCGTGGCCAGTAGTGCCTCGGCACGTTTCTATCGCACCTGCTGCACCTGTTGCAGTAGAGTGAGTATCCATTCGCGCGTGGGCCGAGGGGGTCGTCTCACTTGGCGTTTGTATGCCTCGCGACCGCCGCGGGCCGCCCTCTCGTCGTACAGACGACACGCCCTTTAGGCGACCAATGAACAGTCGTTTCTTTTTTGTTTGGCCCAAGGCGGTCGTCATGTGGCTACATTTCGACCACGTTGAAGTACGCACGCACGACAGACAGACGCCACGGGGTTTTCTATGTCGACCGATTGGCACACGTTCGTGCTACTTTGTTATTTCATTACTTTTGTGAGCGCAACCACATGTTGGACTGTTTCCCGGTAGACTGTCGAGCCACTCTGCACAAGTGTCACAACTCGTTCGTTATCCTGTTTTATTCAGCACCCATGCACTTGCTATGGTGTGTTGTTGAACGGCGCGGCTCTTCGGTGGCACCACTTGCCGCCCTTGATGTGGCGAAATAGACATGTCACGACGGACGATAAGCCATGTTGTAGCAATTGAGGTGTTTCGAGAAGCGATTGTGACCAGCGATATCCTGACTTGAGAGGATGAACGACCGAGCGGAAGGGGTACCTATGGGTACCTACTGCGGACAGCACAAAGAGCTAACCATCCCGCTAAGAGTTGCCGCTTCGCTGATATCCGTTCACGAAGGGACTACGCGCGGCGGGTATCCTATCTAATGTCGGCGTGTAGGTCGACGTCTTTAGTTAATAAACGAAATCGTGGTCGACGTGATTCGTTATTACCCGAGCGATGTGGCTCCGGTCCGTTGAAGTGGGACCTGACATCGTTCGTTTTGTATTCACTGCAACGTATGCAAAGTGGTCGGCCCAAGTTGTTAGGCGTTCAGTAATGGTGAGCTCAGCTAGCGACGATAACTTTGTCATATATAACCCGCGCTATTCGATAAAGCGCGTCGAGGTGCGGCCTACGCGGCGGCGGAACAGTCGGAGCTGACTGATAACCATGGTGCTGTCTCAGTCACGTGCAGACGTGTGACACCACTTGATTTCGCCAGCTTCAGACCGTCGACAAGACCACAGTATTTGGCCATTGTACTCGCAAGAAAACATCCTGCATTGATCCTGCGTGTTCTCACAAGCACGTCACACATACTTTTCGATCCAAGTGTCGAGGCAAGGGTCATGTCTGCTAGTCTACAACTACAACAGTACTCGCCTTCTACTTGAGCTTTGTTCGACCACGTTGTCAGTGTTTTGGTCATGGACATCGATACGCCATTTGCGTCAACGCTGTGGACGGATGGATCGCCCAATGGCGTGCGCGTTGGAACGTCTGGACCAAATACCAACGTGTCAACCTTGGCGTCCTTCAAATTGTTGTAAATGGCCGAGCGATTGCTGTACAAAAAGGTATCCGCCATGATACGACTCACCATCAGGTTTAGATGCGCTGACACGGGGGCGGCCGGGTTGCACCCTACACGTAAATCACACCACGCAGGCTTACCACCAAGTGCGTCCAGCACACCGTTGCAATCTGCGACTGGAAATACTCGATCCAGCAGGCAGGTCGACCTCGCCGATTTGGCCCCAGTCGCGCTCGGACCGCGCGACTTCAAACTCACTGATCCCTTCAGCGCGACAATATTCAAGAGTCAATGTCAGGATTATCGTGTTTGAGCCCGAACATATATACGGGATGGCGCTGTCGTCGTGATGCCCGGAAAGTCCAGTTCGTTGCGTGTGAGCATCACCGTGAGTCCGGTGTCAAGGTGAAGTACCAAGAACTTCCTCTTTCTACGAAAAAGTCATTGACGTACCCACAAGTAGTCCATTGCGCGCGTAACCATCGTGACACATGATGTAACGGGGTTACACTTCAGGTGGTAACTGATATAAAAAGTGTGTTTCACACCACGGATGAGACCCCATTGAAAATTATATTAGAACACCTTGTCAGATGTTGGGGGCTGACGTGTGCCAGCCACCAGATACAAGATCTTTGACAATGTACCAATTAGAGCATTAGTGTCTAGATTAGGTACGTTTAGGCTAGGATGTCCTATTACATAAAGCAAAATATTGCTCAGCTCCCCTTTGATCTATCAGAGACACGAGCATTCCTAAGGCGTCTCAGGTCGTAAGAAGAGTCAAGCCTTGTGAAGGCATACACTCCTGAGCACATTGTGCAGTCGATTAAGTAAATCGTTAGGTCCCTTGACCAAGGAACTTCAGCTTTGAGCTTGTTGGCTATTAGAGTCGAGTTCATGTAAAGAACTAGTTTGCTCGTCAAGTAGAAAGCCTTCCTCTGACTAAGAGCTATGCTAGCTCTGCTACATTTGGTAGCACTTGCAGTCAATCTACGCCTGAGTCTGTAAAGACTGATCCTCTGTAAGGATGGAACAATCCACCCCTCTCTATGAGCCCCAGAAGGTCGCGCCTAATAAACTGACCGCGGCTATGGGCCCGGAATATGTGGAAATCCTTATGGCACAAACCCCGAACGCGTTGAACGCACGTCTAGAGGCCTTTATGCAATACGAGACGACCGCATTGAATAAAAGGCCTCGAGACATAGATAGGGCAGGTCCAAGACCAAATGGCGTCGGCTGTGCTCACTCGCTTTGTGTCTGTGTCAAGCAAAGAGGGTAAGCCTTGTTCTGTCAAATTGGACGTTTAACCCTGCTTGGGGAAGGAGGGAGGAAAATCATCCTCTGGATTCGCTAGGTAGAGATAGCCCATAAGTCAGGCACGATATCAACTGAGTATCAGCGGGTCGCAGTGGTGATCTTCAAGATCGCTGGTGGAGCGAGGGAGTGAGAAATTACGTGCAGCGCTTCCATCGTTGACGCCTCCCCCACATGGGAAATTTTCAAGCTTCAGCTTATTCGCACTTTTGTGCCGCCCAATCAGGCGTATCGCGTGAGATCACGCTTCTTATCTACGCGTCCGGGCAAGAAGTAGTTGTCGGACTATGTCCAAGAGTTGAGGAAACTCATACCTGCTATGCAGGACACCCCCCTCATATGTAGTTCGAGTGACGGTGTTTTTGGGAAGGTCTTCGTCCTGGCCCCACCAGAACTGAGGTCTTTCGTGTCCACCCCGCTACCATGGACGGGACTGTCAACATCGCACACATTGCGGACTACAACTTTAAGATTGTTAAACTTGGTTGTAATCCGGTCTCTACTCGAGCAATATCTAGCTCTATTAGAACCTCAGCGTTATCTAGACCTGAACCTATGGACCTTAGCAATACTGAAGGTGATGGTGGGGATTAAGCAGAGCTTCAAATTGCTAAACACCGACGTCACATTGTCGCTGCTATACGTGCGGAAGCACTACGCACTAGCGTAACGGATGCCCATCGCGCAGCAGTACCAGGCTCACATGAGTCAAATCCCTGCCAACAACCAAAGCTCTGGTACTGCACGGGAAAACGTCAACTCCCAGTAAGTGCGGGGTGCCCTACTGGGGTTGAAATATGTTATGTGATACCTCAGGGAGGTGATGGTGAGCAGGGATTAGCCCTTCAGCGCTCCGTGCTCTACAACACAAAGCATGTGTGTAAGTTGAAATTTCTTGTGGTACAGCAACTGTAACGGGTTCGATAACCCCTAAACGATTCTCATCGATTCCGATGCGTCAAGAAATTATACTCGTCGTCGTTCCCTGGAAGGGACTCAGCCGTATGCTGAAGCTCTCAGAGCGCAATATAGTGAGAGTATCGCCGTTCGTCTGGCAACAGGAACGTCTGTCACATCGCCAGAGATTGCCAGACACCACACACAGGGCTCCTAGCGGAGCTTTAGAGCTATTAAACCACCTCTGCTGGGAAACAAACGCACTATTGGCGTGGGTAATTACCTGAAATGACTCGTGTGCTGGGCATTGGTTTGTCATGAGTTTCTTGACTCCAGATATGTCAATTACGTAAGTGTGGTATAGTAGTTAGTTAATTCCGTCGTATAACAGCCTCAACGTACAAACAAAACAATCGCCGAGCTTAGTGGGCGCAACGGGCTGGTACGTTTGGATAAATCTCTACGCGGTTCGCCCCTTCGTGTTCAGTTGCGGCTTTCGCCTAGCCGATTCCTTACAACCACTCCTCCAGAAGTCTGTCTGAGCTCAGCAGCTTCTAAACCACTCTCTTCCTGTGACTTCACACCAACGGGTGGAAGCCGACGCTCACGCGTTTTTACAGGTCATTGGGAGTAGTGTCCGTCCGACTAAAAGAATTACGATTCCCTCGGCTGAGGCCCACCGGCTTGTCGCTCGACAAGACTTTCGACGGTGCCGTCTATTGGGTCACAGGCTCGTCGACGACGAGACTCCTTCCATCGCTAGTAGCGAGCGCTGCCCAACCCGGGCCTTCACCATTAAGCAGAGTCCTAAGTTTTTATATAACAGTCGCAACCCCCTATTTTGTGACAACTAATTTAGAAAAATTAGGTACTTTTTATCCCGAAGTTACAAAGTCATTTTGCCGAGTTCCAAATATTTTATTAAATATTTTAAAAAAAATCTATTACGTTATTATAAACGTTGATTTATTTTTACCTTTTTTACTCTTGGCGTTACTAGTCGATATTTCTATAAGCTATGCCTCTCGAGGTTCAACGGCAGGCATAATCTAGCCCATGGAGGGGCTTACCTTAAGTGTACGCGTGTCTTGGACTTAGAAAATTCTGCACTGTATTGGTTT